CTTGATCTGTTACATAGATGTTGTATCCCTTAACTTTTTTACTTGGTTAATTTCAGGGCAGGTTTTTTTGAATCTACTTTGTTTCCATCACTGGTGTCTTTTTCAGATAGTGAACATTTTGAGAACAGGTACTAGATTTATCAACCCTGTTCTTCGCATTCCTTCCTGCTTGTTGTTGAAGGGACAGAGCGGAAATGAAAAAAGGGGGAAATTCCTGTCTAAAAAGTTATGTGCTGATTCATAAATCTTAAATTATACATGACATTGATTGCACTGAGATGTTTGTATGTATTTCAAACCCTCTTGAAAGAATGAGACAGCCCTTCCAACTGAGATGTTACTTTTATGTAAAGTGAATGAAATTCAGGAAAGCCAGGAAAGGATGTAAAGAAGAGGTTACCTTATTTGGTTATCTTAGCTAACCTAATGTTCAAGCACTGTGAGCTTATATTTCTATTTTAAAATAAAGCTTATTACATTCTAAAATATATTTATGGGCATTACTAAAGAATATGAGCATTCTAAATCTATATATACAACTTTGTAAACTATTTACATTGATACTTTCCTAAATACTCAAATTTCATAATTAATATTATATAAACACCGGTGGAGGAACCTAACAACATCCCATTTTGGAAAATGGATGTATTTGATGACAAGCACTACATCTTTTTGGTGAATATACTGTATTGTGTGGTAAATTATTTTAGGGCAGGAAGTATAATTGGTTTTTTGGTTTTTGGTTTTGTTTTTGTTTTTTCCCTTCCCACATCTTCTTGTGTAGCCTTCAAACTATTTTTTATGTCCTTGGCACAAAGAAAGTTTTTTGTTTGGTTCCTTCAATTATTTATTGTTCTCACTTCCTTATCACTCATTCATTTCTTGGGAAAAAAATCATTTTTCCATTTTTCTGGTAGTTAATTCACTGTACAAATTAGGTAAATAAGGAAGATATCAAATGAGTACTTGCAGTGTTTTTCTGGAGTTTAGGAAAGAGGGTCATGAGTAGAGATTCGGAGTTACTGCACTGAGATTGTATTTGAAGGTTCAGGTACCTGTGGCCTCACCAGAATGGACTGGCTACCGTGCAGCCATCTCCCCACATAATTCCGTAATTCTCTCTTCATTCAGCTGCACAGGCATCTGTGACCCAACCAAGTCAAGAATATCCTGCTTTCCAGACTGATATTCTTACTTGGGTGTCCCCATGCCTGCTATCTCATCCTCATGCACTCAGTGCTGCGTACATCCCAGTGCTAATACCCTTTATAGCTCCCTCAAAGTATGAAGGATGCTAAGAGAAGCCAACCAAGGCTGCCACTCTGGAATCACTAGCTTTTCAGTGGAGCCCACCGGTGATATTGAAGAGTGAGCAAAAAGAGAAAGGCAGGAGAAAATGAAGAACATGGTTATCATGGAAATCTAGAGAAGAGTGTTTTAGGAAGGAGGGAGGGGTCAAGAGTGTAAATGTCTCCAGGAGCCAGAATGATAAGGGCTGTTTTTACACCTGTAGCTTCCCTTGAAGGGAGGGATTGTTTCCTCAAATGCTCCTAGCACCCAAGTGTGTGGTCAGTGCCCAGAAAGAAATTGAGAAATGGTGGGAATGATTTAGAAGAGAGGAGGAAGCACTTCTGGAAAATTGACATTATCGGGAAAGGATGGTGGGTTACGTTGTGATAGACCTTGAGTGATCAAAAGACTGTCAACCAGTGGGATTTGAATGTGTCTTCTCATTTTCTGATAGAATTTGCAGGAAGTCACTGAACTAAACAGTGGATTGGTATTCTTGCTAAATGGGTCTAACATAGACGCCAAGTAGTAGTACCTAGAGGTGGAAAACTAAATGTGAACCAGGGAAATTTCTATATTACTTACTCTTTCAACAGATGGAGGTGATGTGCTCTAAATTAGTATTGTTCTCCTATTTAAATCTATTGCTTTTTACTGTATTTAATGATGTTTAAGCAGGTTTGCTGATAATTAAGGGAATTGCTAATAATTGTCAGCATATGTTTGCTTTTCTCTCGACCCTAAGGAATAGGTTTTAGGTGTTACTGATCTGTCATAATATTACACACATGGTTGACACCTTTATTTTTTACTAGTTTAACAAATGCAAAACATACATATATTTCTACGTACACTAGCATCTGTCCAAAGTTCATATTGCACTGAAAGGGGTTTGATGCTATGCTATAAACAAGGATGGGGAGAAGGAGAGGGAGGTGGGGCAGGGAGGGAATGAGAATAGTAAAGAAGGTCCTATGACAGGAAAAAAAACCCTGTTATTTAACTTAGTTGTCTGTCTTCAACTCCTCGGTTTTTACAGGTCATTAAACTGTGGGCACGCTCTCTCCCTATGTGCCCCATCTATATCTTGAAATTAAAAGAAAACATTGCATTGTTTTATAAGATGTAAAAGGAGTCTTGGCATTTCTTTCAAACTGCAAAAAAAAAATTTATGAAATATAAGATTTATAAAAACTCATCAAAAAATCTAGGAAGGCTTTGAGATGGTTCTGAGGAGGAGGTCTGTAGTAGAGACAGCCAAGCCTGGGCATTTCCAAGTCAGTTCTATTTATTGTCTTTTAGTGCTGGCTTTCAGTTTCCTCCTACAATGCATACAACTTCACATATCCTAAAAAAGACAGTTCTGCCACAAACTATTTTCTAAGGGAAATGAAACGCGACAAGAATGTCTTTATCCCAGTGGCATTAGTGTGTTGGCCTTTTAGAGACTGAAACCTCTGGGAATAGATTTATTTGGATTTCTGTGAGCTTGTAAGAAATGTTGAAAACATCTGATTTTTATAAGAATCTACTTGGAATTGTTCTTTATGCTAGGGTATTCTTTGTTTGAAAGATATTTCATTGAAATCAACACCCCACCTCCCACCCCCCACCCCAGTTACAAAACAGCTCATAAATTCTAGCTTTGGTTGTCTAAAGATTTTTTTTCTTTGGAGATGGGCTGGAGGTTACTTTGCATTTTGGCTCAGTTGGCTGGTTTTCCTCCCGTTTTCTGTGGAGCACTTCTCGAACCTCAGCTGCGGCCACATGTGCTGCCCCTCTGCCTCTGGAAGCAACAGTTAGCACGTTCTTCCACTTGAAGGCTTGCAGTTCAAGAGGAGCACGCGACGTTTTGAATTGTAAGGGAAATCGGAGCAATCTGAGGTCAGAAGTATCTAAAGAGCTCAAAAGCCAGGTTTAATTAGGTAGCGGTGCAAAGCCTCTATCCCCTTCACAAAAGCGGGGGGGGGGGGGGGAGGGGGGGGGAGAGGAGCCAGAGTGAAAACAATTGGCATTTCTGGGCCCGGCCGCCCGCCCGGCCCCTGAGCCCAGCTGGAGCTCAGCCGGCCCTGCATTCTGCAGGCAGCGCGCAGTTTCTGAAACTCCCCGAAATGTTCCAGCCTTTAAATAGCAGCGAGCCTTCTAAAACGATGCTGCGTACTGCAAGAGAAATTAAAGCGGCTGCCTCGGAGGCAGGAGGCCGACTAGCGAGCTGCTTAATTATCGTGGAAGTAAGTGCTTGTTACCGCCGAGCGGAGTGCAGCGAGCGCGGGTCGTCCTCGGGGTGTCAGCCGTGATTTGTAGACAATGCAGCCCTGTCAGCGCAGTGCTGGTTCAGCAGCATCCTTCCAAACATGGATTTGGCAAGAATTTAAAGGCCACCTCTTGTGTAATTTGTGGAGCCTTGGAAAAGGGTCCTCTGCCTTTATTTTCAGGATGTGCGCAACCATGCGGGGTTTTGTACTCAGAATGTGTGCCTCTTGCCTCCTGACTGACGGGCTCGCAAGGAAGTTGGTGCTCTTCACCCGTCACCTGCAAGGATGCTAACACTCCTCTGTCGTCTGTCGGGGAAAATATGGAGAGGTCTGTCCAGAGCAGCGTTTTGTTTCTGCTGTCTTCATAAATCAGCACCGGAGGGTGGGGGAGGATGCGATGCGTAAGGAAATGCAGGCGTTTTGTTAATTAGCGGAATATTTCTAGCTTCAAGAGTAGACTAAAGAGAGCTGGGGAAGAGGTGGTGGTGAATGCGGGATTCATCCTGAGCTATTCCTCGCCGGGTAAGTAATAAAGTGAGGGCAATACAGAGGAGTGCTAGTGGATGTAATGGCTCCGGGAAAACCCTGTTTATTTTCTCTCTCTTGTATTTGCTCTTGCCAACTCTGTTAAGCGTTTGTAAAGAAACCAAAAAAGCAAGCAGGGTTTTGAAAGATGAAAGATACTAAAAAGTGAGTGTTGCAGTGTCCTGGATGACATGATTCTTAGTCTTGTTTAAAAACTGACTATACGTTGCTCTAATTAGTGAACTCTGCTGGTCATGTTTCGAACTTCTGGTCAGCACAGTGGTTCGTGATGTTCTACGTTATTGGAGGTCACTGGAGCCTGACTTGGTCCGCACTTGGGGTAGGAGCCTTGATGTCTTGGGACAAGATCCCCACCCCCTCCTATTACATGAAATCAGTTCAGTGAAGCTAACGTATTAATAGTCTTTCAAGATCCGTATCATTTGATTTTGTTCAATGCTTTCACTTTCTTTCAAACCTTACCAAAAAGAGAGGCTGTGAACTGTGACCCACAGTCCATTACTGAGTCTTTTATTTTCATGTGTCTGGTTTTAGCAATTGCATATTTATTTTTAGAGGTATTTATCAAATGCTAATTCTAATTGTCCTTCCTCTCTCTTTTAGAGAAAGCATGGGATTGTGGCAATCACAGAGTCCCAGTAATACAAGTTCCATTCAGTTTTTTCTGAAAGAAAGCTGTCTGTGAAAGCAAAGCAAAGGGAACCATTGTGGATTATAATGTTTTGAAGATCTGGATTTTCAGAGGTTTGGAAATAAGGCGTCATTTTACCTTTTAAATGAAAACGATTAAGATCTCATGCAACTGCTGTATTTTCTGGAAGCCGTTCTCCAAAAGGGAAGTGCACATTTAAAACTTAGCTATGATGGTCCTTTGTGCAGGGATTTGAGTCTGATTGCTTCTCCATCATGACCAGCCTGAAACGGTCGCAGACAGAGCGGCCCGCTGTCCCCGAAAGGGCCTCGGTTGTCGCCACGGATGGCGCTCCCAAAGTCCACACCGACGACTTCTACATGCGGCGCTTCAGGTCCCAGAATGGCAGCTTAGGGTCCTCAGTCATGGCTCCGGTAGGGCCCCCCCGAAGTGAAGGTTCTCACCATATAACCTCCACCCCCGGAGTCCCCAAGATGGGGGTTAGGGCTAGGATTGCGGATTGGCCCCCACGAAAGGAAAACGTCAAAGAATCTAGCCGTTCAAGCCAGGAAGTAGAAACCTCAAGTTGCCTTGAGAGCCTGTCCTCCAAAAGCAGTCCTGTGAGTCAGGGAAGTTCTGTGAGCCTCAATTCCAGTGACTCAGCCATGCTGAAGAGCATACAGAACACGCTGAGAAACAAGACGAGGCCGGCGGAGGGCATGGACTGCAGGTTTCTGCTGCCCGAAGCCTACCCCAGCTCCCCCAGGAAGGCTCTCCGCAGGGTCCGGCAACGGAGCAATAGCGACATCACCATAAGTGAGCTGGACGTGGATAGCTTCGATGAATGTGCCTCGCCCACCTACAAGACTGGGCCGTCTCTGCACAGGGAATACGGTAGCACCTCCTCAATTGACAAGCAGGGAACGTCTGGGGAAAGCTTCTTCGATCTGCTGAAGGGCTACAAAGACGACAAGTCCGATCGAGGTCCAACTCCGACCAAGCTCAGCGACTTCCTCATCACCGGCGGGGGCAAGGGCTCCGGTTTCTCTCTGGATGTTATCGACGGGCCCATCTCCCAGAGAGACAACCTCAGGCTCTTTAAGGAAAGGGAAAAACCACTCAAGCGCCGCTCCAAGTCCGAAACCGGAGACTCGTCCATTTTTCGGAAATTACGCAATGCCAAGGGTGAGGAACTTGGGAAGTCGTCGGATCTGGAAGACAACCGGTCGGAAGACTCTGTCAGGCCCTGGACATGCCCAAAGTGCTTTGCCCACTACGATGTCCAGAGTATATTATTTGACTTGAATGAGGCGATTATGAACAGGCACAATGTTATCAAGAGGAGAAACACCACCACGGGGGCATCGGCCGCTGCCGTGGCCTCCCTGGTCTCAGGGCCTTTGTCCCACTCGGCCAGTTTTAGCTCCCCGATGGGCAGCACGGAGGACCTGAATTCCAAGGGGAGCCTCGGCATGGACCAGGGAGACGATAAGAGCAATGAGCTGGTACTGAGCTGTCCGTATTTTCGGAACGAGATCGGTGGAGAAGGTGAAAGGAAGATCAGCCTGTCAAAATCAAATTCTGGTTCCTTTAGTGGGTGTGAAAGTGCCTCCTTTGAGTCCACGCTTAGTTCCCATTGCACAAACGCAGGAGTGGCTGTACTCGAGGTGCCCAAGGACAGCCTCGTGCTGCATCTGGACAGGGTGAAGAGGTACATCGTGGAGCACGTGGATCTGGGTGCATACTATTACAGGAAATTCTTCTATCAGAAGGGTGAGTGGAGATCCTGTAGCATGATGGTTAAAATAGTTAAATGTATTTGCTACCATTTATGTCTTTGTGCGTTTTTGAGTTACTTCCTCCTTTCAGGCATAAAAATGTATATTTAATATTAATGGTTTTTTTAATTTAGTGGATGAAATTGTAGTCTTTGTATAAAAGACTTGCTCCGTTACCTTGAGAGATAAATGCCATAAACTTGAAAATATTTTAAAGATAGCTTTTTTTTATAAGGACTACAAAAACAATGCTGCCTTTTCTTAGCACTTTTATAGTTAGTACAGAACCATTTCTTTTCTGCCTCAATGTTCTCATCGGTAAATGGGGCTTACACATTCCTATCCTTTTGATAGGAATTTTAGTGAACATTAATTACGTTATTTGACAAAAGTTGCAGAGCCAATAAGTCTCAGGCAAGAGTCAAATCTAGGTCTTATAGAATGGGGTAGAAAAGGGGCTGAAGAGATAAGTACCTTTAACATGTTGGTAACTTCCTTTTTAGTCTTTTCTGTTTTGTGTGTGGTGGGGGGAGAAATATATATTTTTGGATTGTACTTTATGTTTCATCTCCTGCTTTTAAGAAAGGCCCTGTGATTTACTGAACAATAAGTAGTTTAAACGAAGTCTTAGGAGCAATCTAATAATGTTTTTGAGCCACATTATTCATTGAAGAGTGAGCTTAAGTCCACAAGTACCCAAGCTGAGAAACAGGCTGCTCGCCAAGGAAGGACCTACACTGTGGTCCATTAGCTAGCTCAGAAGTCTCTGCAGCCTGACCGAGTGGTCCCCTGGATGCAAAGTACTAGAGCAGTTTGACTTTCCACATACTGCTTCGGCGTTTTTGAATCTTACTTAGACTTCTTCCAAATGAAGTTCCACTTCTAGTGCTCCTGGTAGCTGTATTACATTGTTCACATTGGAATAAAACTTATCCTAAGGTCATTACATGATAGACTGTATTCACAAGGGTTTATTGACCGTAAGAATCTTGTCTTGTTGCTAAGTATCCATGTCTTCTAAATGTCTGTCATAAATACTTGACAACATGATAATGAAAATGCCATTTCCATTTTTAAGCAGTCGATGTTTTCTCAATAATTTTATGGAGTTCTGATTTTAGAAATCACCTTTTCCTTATATACTGTCCTATATACCTTGACAAGGCTTCTCAGTGTTGCCATCTTGGCATTTGGGCCAGGATACTTCTTTGTTGGAGGGGGCTGTCCTGTGTGCACTGTAGGATCAGATTAGCAGCAGCCCTGCCCTCTACACCCTAAATGACAGTAGGTACCCCTCCCTCAGTTGTGACGACCGGAAATGTCTGCAGGCATTGCCAAATAAATGGCTCTTGGGAGGTAAAGTTGCATCTAGCTGAGAACCCCTGCTTTATTGTACCTGGGGACATTTTTCACAGGGGTTCCTGAGCGGTCTGTTGGTGGGGGCCATCTTGCTAAAAACAGACACATTAAGAACATACTGGTTATAATTTTACATATGTAGTAGTGGGCACTTTATCCATTAGGCAGTATAATAATATTAATGAACAATTTAGAGCACTTATTATGTACCAGGAACTTTTAGTAAGTATTTCCTATGCCCTGCATTTTTCTCCTTTCAACCTCAAAATGCCCACTGAGGTAGGGTACCGTCCGTGATGCCATTTCCCAGACGAGAAGACGGGGGCTTTACAGGTTAAGTGGACCTAAGTGGAGCTAGTAGTGTGGGAGCCCGGATTCCACTTCTGCTTGTCTCACCGGCGTCCTGTTCTTAACCACTGTGCTCTTCTCTCTGCTGTGTTAGACTGAAGGGAAAGAGGATGTTTTTATGTTTAAATCTGGTAGAAATTTGTATGGCATAAAAAATTTGGACATCTATATTCCAGAGGAATCCAGCTTAGATCATAACATTTCATAAATTTAAAAGCCACCAATCCAAAGTCGTTTCTAATTTGAAGTATAGAAAATACCCTCTTATGCAGCATAATTGGAACTGGGTTAATTGAAAATACCAGTTAAAAGTAGGGAATCTTTAAAAGTTATACATGCCCAATATATTTTATTTTCACTAAAATATGTAAGAATGTATTGCCAAACTCTTGTGAGGCCGAGTGTTTTTCTTTAACAGTGATCGTACTATTTGGAATTTGAGGTTGTATTAATAGTATAACACTGTAAGAGCTACAACAGACTAACTAGCAAAGCAATCCAGTCTTATAGAATCTTAGGTTTCATTTTTTTTCTCCTTTTTTATAGTTGTCTTGCCCACATCTAATCCAATAGCTTTCTTTTTAGTGACTTGCTTTTATTAAGTCTTTCTAAAGCCTTCAGCTTAGTTTTTAATAGAAACAAGATTTATCTTTAATACTCGTATTCCATCAGCTTTCATAATATTTAATTAAATTTCATAATTACAATAACAAGTCAACTAGCATAAACAGGTTTGGGAAGAGACCGCCTGACTCTGTCAGCATGAAGTCCAGCTGGTGGGAACAAAGTGTGTGTGGCCCTGGAGAGGGCCTGCCGGTGTCCTTGGGCATTCATCATTGTGCTGGACGGAGGGAACTCAGAGCAATAGTTAATCCAGGAAGTCGGTCCAGTGGGAGGCGGTTTCAGAGTGCCTGCTGTGTTTTCTTGGGCCACACAACTTAGAATTTTCAAATCAGGCAGGTCATTTGTCACAGTATGATAATAAACAACAAATTATGGCTCTGAGTAACCTCATTTGAAGCTGAAATGAAGCCCCTTAAAGTATAACTGTATACTTAAAAAGTTAGATATCTGTACTTAGTCACCATATAGGATATGGTTAAAGTATTCTGATTTTTACTGTACAACTTGATTCGTTGAGATTCATGGGCTAACTCCTTTTGTCCTGATCAGAAACTGAAAGCGAGTCCTCTTGTTGAAGGAGTACATTGATGTCAGGTGCATCAGGGTGTAAGGCTACTGGCCTGGCTGTCAGTCCAGCCTCTTCATGACCAGATACTTGGCATTCTGCTCTTTCATGCATTCCTGACTTCATGTGGCTAAGTCTGGGGGTGGGGGTTGGGGGCTGGGAGTTCCCTTTCTTCAAGGATACTCTGCAGTCAACATTGTATGTAAAATTATATTGGGCTCGTGAAACTGCAGTCCCTCTCTGATACCATACTGTTGTTATGCAGGTCATTATTTTGAGAATTTAGGCTACAGAGCTTATCTGACTACACCATGTAAGCCCACTGTTTGCACTTAATAAAATAAGCACCACAGCATCAAGGTTCTGCTCCCCACCCCTTTCTCTTGACCGCTCCCCTTTGCTGGTTTGCTAGCGTGCTGGACACTCACCCAAGGTTCAAGGACAGGAATAATATAGTTAACATTTACTGTGTCCTTCCTTGGTGTTTTATGTGGACTTCCTCACTTAATGCTCTCAGGACCCCGAGGCGAAGCGGTCATCGTGATGAGTGCAAGTGATGCAACCGCTGCCTTCCTAGAGAGACCCAAACCAGGCAGAAGGATCGCATTAACATTAATAGGGTCATCTCCCCTTGACTCCATATATGTATTTTGTGTTTAGTTTTTATTTGGATAGTCACTGTGATGGAGGTACCCATGAAGTTTGTAAGTGGAGAAAACTGTTAAAGTTACGATGTTGCCTAGAGCCAGCATGGCTTGTTTAGGAGGAAACTTTCCTAGCCTTTGCTCACCTCACTTTCTGTGGCCGTACGGGACTTCTCCAGTTTTTGCTCCGAGTGTGCAGTTGTCTGTGAGTCCCATTCAGAGTGATGTGTTTGTGGAAAAGCGGGGTCCACGGTCTTGGCAGCGGTGTTTGTTGCTCCATTGGTCGAGAGTGTTGATAGGCTGGTCTCTACGCCAGGTGGGGTGTCCCTCTCAAAGTTGCTGGAGATGCTGTGTCAGCAACAGGCCTCTCCCTACTGCCCAGTGGCCGGAAGAAACTGCCATTATCTGGTCTGAAGCTCATCTGAGACTAGTTTTCCACTCCTAATGCTTGTATATCTAATTATTCTTCTGATAATGTTAAACCATCAGATTTGATTGTTTTCAGAGGTGCACGTGCGCGCGCACACACACACACACACACACACTCACACCAGTTCCAACAGTATGCTGGGCCCCAGAACTATCACTTGATAGTTGGATTTCAGATACTCTTGTAATGTCCAGTTTTCTTGATAAGAGGGTGAGAGGTAAATAATCAGCCATCTTTAGCATCATTTCTTCAGAATATATGCCTTAACTTCATGCATACTTGGAAGTGACAGTTTTAGCAGTCTGATCTAGTCTCAATTTTGCTATCAAGAGCTGGTCTTGAAGCTCGAGTTTGTTAGATGAGGTCAAGTAGCTGTTGAGAAGATTTAGTGGATTATACTGTGGTGTGTATAGATCATCAGGGAACACCATCCAGCTAAGCTTATTTGGAAAATCTGTGTTTAGTTTGTTTTTTAATCCTCCTATAAGTACTGCAACATTAAACTTGAGAAAGTTGGGTTGTCTTATAGTTCAGAGTTCTTTAAGGATAATTATGCTCTTTAGTGTTTTGATGTGGACAGTTTTATTTTTCGGGGAAGTGGTAAGCCAACAAGTCTGCTTCACTGAACCACGCTGTGCTCTGTGTTCCTGAACTTAACAGCTAATTTTGGCCAACATTAATAGGGGAAGATTTTATACATGCATAATAATTCATTGTTCTAATACCCTTGTTTTTTATTTTTCACTGAGATCACGTAAACTGTATATGATTGGCTTGAAGGTAGCTCTCTACTTAGGTAGCCCTTTCAAGGAGAGTTTGGGCACTAAATACCTCCTTGAGCTAACCAGGAGTGTGATTTGCTACCGTCTTTTTATCTGCTCAGGGCTTCCAGAAGCAAGGAGGCCGTTAGGTATGGAGGTTTGCATGTTTGCTCCGTTGAAAACGGTCGTCTTCTTTCTCGGCTGTGATCTCCTGAATTTTAACACTGGTGATCTGGACTCTGATCTGTAAGGCATTCAGGATGC